GAGTTCCTGTTTCGAAATCGGATTCGCCCTGCAAGAGTACGGTGGATTGGTGGACTTTGTAGAATACGGCGAACAAGAGGCGAAACTGTCTTTTTTTTTTTTTTTGTATATATACATATATATTAAGAACATATACCTGTCTCTTATACACATCTAGATGTGTATAAGAGACAGGTCCAGAGTGTTCACGACCCGACCGAACAGGGTGTCGGACAGGTTGGCATCGTGCAAGATGAGCGAGGCGAGGCGAGACAGCATGGTCGTCGGCAACGACGGATGTATCGAGGGCTCGTCCTCCTCGTCCTTCTCTTCGTGCACGATCGACAAATCCATTCCGATTGGGCAGTAGCCCGCGTCGAAGATGTCTTCGAACAGCAGACGGTGCAACGTTCTTCGAGTCAAGTTCACCTTCTCGCACTCCATCGTTTTCAGAACTTCCTCGACGACCGAGGTTCTCGGCGTCTTGTATTCGACGGCTCGTTCGAATTCCGAGCACACGTTGGCGAGTTCGAGTATTTCCATCGCGTCGGTGCCCGCGCGACGAACGATCTCTGCCAGGACCATGACGGGTACATCTAGGATATTCATGGGATGAATGAGAAACGAGATTTACCAAGTGTTGCGTATCGAGTGTGTGTGTGTATGTGTATTTAATATATATACACGGTATGAATTCGAAAAAAAAAAAAAGTCATCGAATTCGATGCCGTTTTTACTTCGAAGGCAAACGCGAGTTTGGACACGTCATCGAATTCGATGCCATGGGATGAATGAGAAACGAGATTCACCAAGTGTTGCGTATCGAGTGTGTGTGTGTATGTGTATGTAATATATATACACGGTATGAATTAAAAAAAATAACGTCATCGAATTCGATGCCGTTTTTACTTCGAAGGCAAACGTGAGTTTGGACACGTCATCGAATTCGATGCCGTTTTTACTTCGAAGGCAAACGCGAGTTAGGACACGTCATCGAATTCGATGCCGTTTTTACTTCGAAGGCAAACGCGAGTTTGGACACGTCATCGAATTCGATGACGTTTTTACTTCGAAGGCAAACGTGAGTTTGGACACGTCATCGATTCGATGCCTTTTTTCTTCGAATGCATACTCGAGTTTGGACACGTCATCGTGTGTGCGCGCGCTTGGGTGTGTGTATATATATAAAGCGTGCGTTCCTTTGTTTTTCGTTTTTCTCTTGACATGGTCTTCCGTATTATCACCGATTCGAAATGTCCAACAACCGCTTCCTCAACGAAGACGATAGTTACTGTAAGGTGCTGGACATGGCATTCGACGAAGAGATTAAAGATTTCGTATTCGAAGTCCCCGGAGGATACCAGTGTCCGTACGATAAATCACACGTGATAAGGGATAACCGATTTCCGTATCACCTGGCGAAGTGCAAACGCAACTACGGCGGCGTACGCTTGCACACGTGCCCTTACAACGCCCGGCACAGGATGGGCATCAAGACTTTGATGAAGCACGTTCACGTCTGCGTAGACAAGCCAATGGAGCAAATGCCACCGACGATGAAAGGATGCACGACCGTTCCGCCCTACGACGATGCGACATGGGAGGCCGAGTATTTGCACAAGCCATCGGAGACGAAAAGACGCAACGCCAGAGTTCCTGTTTCGAAATCGGATTCGCCCTGCAAGAGTACGGTGGATTGGTGGACTTTGTAGAATACGGCGAACAAGAGGCGAAACTGTATTTTTTTTTGTATATATACATATATATTAAGAACATATACTGAATGATAACTAAATAGATAAATAAATAAATTAAAGAAAAAACAAACAAAAAACAAAATGGTTGTTCCCTGTCTCTTATACACATCTAGATGTGTATAAGAGACAGTTGTTTTTTGTTTTTGTAACGTATTCCACCTCGTCTGTCAGATCGATTTCGTCATATTGATATGAGAATTTGGGTGGGGGAGGGGGGCTGTCTAGCTCGATCGAATGTAAAACGTGAACCAGAGTGGATAAATCAAACGAAGATCACCCTGTTTTCGTTCGATCGATTTCCTTCTCAGTCCTCGAATTCCGACTTGAAAACCCGGTTTCCTCTCGACTTCGTGGAACGAAAGGTTCGGAATTCGGGTTTCTCTGTTGGCTTCGAATGGTCCTATCCTTCAACACTGGCCCCAAAAAGTGTCGTTCCTCATATCAGATGTGTATAAGAGACAGGTGTTGAAGGATAGGACCATGCGAAGCCAACCGAGAAACCCGAATTCCGCGTCTTTCGTTCCACGAAGACAGCGGAAATCGGGTTTTCAAGACGGAATTCGCTCACTCCTATCTCTTAACGTTGGAAGATCGAACGAAGCCTACACATCTTTGTCTTCGAAGGGTCCTATCCTTCAACACAGGTCCCAAAAAGTGTCGTCTTCATATCTCAAATCAATTTGTAAAAAAAATTGTTTTTGAACTTGCGAGGTCCAAAAGTCACGGAACCTAGCCCACCCACGAAGCTCACCCTGTCTTCGTTCGATCGAATCCCTCTCCCAACGTTAAGAGATACGAGTCATCGAATTCCGTCTTGAAAACCCGATTTCCGCTGTCTTCGTGGAACGAAAGACGCGGAATTCGGGTTTCTCGGTTGTCTTCGAAGGGTCCTATCCTTCAACACAGGCCCCAAAAAGTGTCGTCATCATATCTCAAATCAATTTGTAAAAAAAAAAAAATTTTAACTTTGCGAGGTCCAAAAGTCACGGAACCTAGCTCACCCACGAAGCCCACCCTGTCTTCGTTCGATCGAATCCCTCTCCCAACGTTAAGAGATACGAGTCATCGAATTCCAACTCGATACCCCGATTTCCTTTCGCCTTCGTGTAACGAAAGACGCGGAATTCGGGTTTCTCGGTTGTCTTCGAAGGGTCCTATCCTTCAACACTGTCCCAAAAAAGTGTCGTCATCATATCTCAAATCAATTTGTAAAAAAAAATTTTTTGAACTTTGCGAGGTCCAAAAGTCACGGAACCTAGCACACTCACGAAGCCCATCCTGTCTTCGTCGATTCATTCCCAACGTTAAAAGATAGGGGTGCAAGGTCCTATCCTTCAACACTGGCCCCAAAAAGTGTCATCCTCATATCTCAAATCAATTTGTAAAAATTTTTTTTTTCATCTCTGCGAGGTACAAAAGTCACGGAACCTAGCTCACCCACAAAGCCCACCCTGTCTTCGTTCGATCTCATAACGTTAAGAGATAGGGATGCAAAGTCCTATCCTTCAACA